CATTAAATTCCAGTGAAATATATTTATGTTTGTGGTTGTAATGTGACAAAATATGGAAAAGTTCAAGGGGTATGAATACTTTTGCAAACCACTGTACATCCTGACTGATCCAAGTCCGGCCCAGCAGTTTTACATCACTGCGAGGTTTCAAATCAATTTAGGCAGAGATTATGGTTTAGAAAAAAATGAGGAAAATATGAACGCAGAGAAGATTTAAACTAAACTGCACTGATTTTGTTTCCAGTGAAATTAAAACTTTAGTTCTTGGCTCTTGTCGTTGGATTTAAGCCAGTTTAAATAAAAAAAAGAACTGAAAACATTTTCCCTAAAATTGTTACAAAAATTTCTGTTTCATTATACAGAGTGGGTCATTTATATAGCTATACAGTACTTAAAGAAAATGGGAATGGTTGCTGATATTAACTTCCTGTTTGTGGCACATTAGTATTTGGGAGGGGAGAAACTATTCAAGATGGGTGGTGACCATAGCGACCAGTTTGAAGTCGGCCATTTTGGATCCAACTTTAGTTTTTTCAATGGGAAGAGGGTCATGTGACACATCAGACTTATTGAGAATTTCACAAGAAAAACAATGGTATGCTTGGTTTTAATGTAACTTTATTCTTTCATGAGTTATTTACAAGTTTCTCTTTGTTTACAGCCATTGACGTCGCAGAGATTAACACGTGAGGAGCGGATAGAAATTGTGCTGATGTTGTTTTTCTCTTAAAATTCTCAATAAAAAAGTCTGATGTGTCACATGACCCTCTTCCCATTGGAAAAAACTAAACTTGGATGCAAAATGGCCGACTTCAAACTGGCCGCCATGGTCACCACCCATCTTGAAAAGTTTCTCCCCTCCCAAATACTAATGTGCCACAAACAGGAAGTTAATATCACCAACCATTCACATTTTATTTAGGTGTATCTATATAAATGGCCCACTCTGTACAGTTAAAAGAGAGAGATGCTTTTAAGCTTTTAAACTAAAGTCCCTTGTTTCTTGAGTAATTTAAAGTTTAACATGTTATAATAACAAACCGGTCCTTCCCCTGAGCAGCTCCGGTACAGTCCAGACGTCTGTCTAAACAAACCCTGGACGTGCTGTCTTCCCTGTCACAGTCCTGTGTTAAACTAGGCTCTCCTCAAGCGTAAACGGAAGGTAAACAGTCCGAGGATGCTCCAGCAAAATGCCACTTGTGTCGAGGGTTCTGACAGAAAACACAGCTGACGGCGTCCACAGCGCTGCTCTGATTTGTTTGTTCGGTTTTCGACAAAGTCCACTTTAGTGTGAGGGGCTGTAGCAGCAGACAGCTGTCTCACCTGGACCAGGAGAGCGATCTGACCTGAGCTGAATGAAAACATTTAAACAGTTATATCACACTGACATTCAGTTTAATTACGGTCGTAAAACTGAACAAACCATCTAAAGTGATCCTGAAGTGTTTCGATTCGTTTACTCCGAGTTTAAAGCAAGAGTTAGCACCCGGATCACAAAAGACCTGCAGGTGTCTCTTGTAACAACTTAAAAATTAGGACCGTAATAAATCAAATTTAAGGTTGTTTTTACTGCTTTATTTAGCTGATTCTATCATCACAGAGTTGCTCTCACTTCTGTCCTTCTAAGTAGTTTCTCTGCTGGTCTTCAGAGAGGACAGAAGTGCTCAAAGAGAGTAGAGGCTGTCGTCTCCAAAGATACAGAGTGGAACTGGAGTGAATGGGGCCTCATGGAGCCACTGAGGCACCTCTACGGATCAGTTTAGCTTAAAGGTAAAGGCAGGGTAGTTAAAAGATTAAAACAGCAAAAGTCCATCAAGAAGTTAAAAATGGTGAAATAGAAAGCAGAAAGTAAAAGAAGCAAATGACTAGCTTAATTTAGCAAAACATTAAGAGCCACAGAAGGAAAATGCTAATAGTTTAACAAGGCTATATAAAAGCTAAATGTAGCACAACATTAAGAGCTACAGTAGCAAAATGCCAAAGGTTTGACAAGGCTATGTAAAAGCTAAATATAGCAAAACATTAGGAGCTACAGTAGCAAAATGCTAAAAGTTTAATGAGGCTATCTAAAAGCTAAAAGTAGCAAAACGTTAAGAGCTACAGAAGCAAAATGCTAATAGTTTAATAAGGCTATATAAAAGCTAAAAGTAGCACAACATTAGGAGCTAAAATAGCAAAATACTAAAAGTTTAACGAGGCTATAAAGCTAAAAGTAGCACAACATTAGGAGCTACAGTAGCAAAATGCTTAACGTTTAACAAGGCTATCTAAAAGCTAAAAGTAGCAAAACGTTAAGAGCTACAGAATCAAAATGCTAATAGTTTAACAAGGCTATATAAAATCTAAATGTAGCTAAACATTAAGAGCTACAGTAGCAAAATACCAAAGGTCTGACAAGGTTATATAAAAGCTAAAAGTAGCAGAATGGTAGCTAAAAAAATTTAAAAGGTAGCTAACAGCTAAAAGCAGTATAAGAAGTTTAAAACAGACGTAGCCTAAGTTGAAGCAAGTTCCAAATAAAACATTTTTAAGTAAAGTTTAAGTAAGAAAGTATAAAGTTTAAGTAAGAAAGAAATAGAGTAAGAGATTTTAATGTATTTTTTATGTGGAAAACGTTTACAAATCAAGTTAAATATTTTGAAAATTTCCAAACTCAAAATCCTAGTCCGTCTCCAGAATGAGCTGAACGTTTTCATCCATAAACAGCTAAAATAGCACCGACTGTGTTCAAAATGTGAACACAGAGTCAGCTCTCAGAGATAAATGGTGCTATAACTCAGTAAAATACCCGTGTGGCCGACATTTAAAACATCTTAATTAACCTTCATATTTTAGGTTTTGTTTATTCAGTGGATCCTGAAAGTCCCTCACAGATTTCAGGCTGCAGAGTTCAGCTGGGCACAGCATCACTGATGGTTGAACTTTAGCTCCCGTCCCTCGGGGCACAGGCTACCAGGAACCAGGAAAACACGATCAATGGGTGAATCAATGAGACGCTGCAGCTCTGACTCTCCCACCTCCCCTTTCTCTCTCCCCCTGTCCCCCCCAGGAATACTATGACAAAGGAGAGTACGTCATCCGGCAGGGAGAGGAGGGCAGCACCTTCTACATCATTGCACAGGGGAAGGTAAAACTCTCACTTTCTAAATGTTGTTTAAAAGCTATTAGATATTACTGGAAATATATGATGTTTGACTTTCAGGCTGTTAACCCCCCCAGCTTCACCCCGGGTAGCTTATGTGCTCCACATGTGATGGGAAACATGCAGACTCCTAATTTCCCCACTGGGATTTAATAGAGTACACTTACTTACTCTAGACCAGAGCTATTCAACTGGTGGCCCACGGGCCGAATGTGGCCCGCGAGTGATTAAAGTTTGGCCCGCCAATTGGTCTCTTAAGCCCAAACCCCCAGTTTTGTACCTTAATTATTGTAAGTTATTTTATTTAAACATAGACATGTTTGGTATCTACAGAAACATCAGAATCTTGGCTACAAGCTGGTAAAAAAAACATTTCTATGAACATCCAAGACAGTTAAAATTACAATCAGTTGAAGATAGAACTATGAAAGCGAAAATGTAATTGGTTTAAAAATTTGACAAGTCAGAGATGTCAAAATATTATTTGTTAAATAGAAGGCATAATATGTTATTTTTGTTTTTGATATCGTTTAATTATTACTTTTATAGGGTTCTGTATGTTGTATTCATGATTAAATGTAGCAAAATAAACTATTTCAAACGTATCAGATCTTTGTAACACTCGGTATATTTACATAATGACTTTAATTGCTGGATGTTCGGCCCCTCAGCTGTTGATCTGCATGTGGCCCCTGGAGTGATTTAGTTGAATAGCCCTGATCTAGACTCTCTATTAGCAAGTTAGCTTTTTTGCTAACTTTAGAAATTGTTAGCAGACCCATTAGCTTCCGCTAAATTAGCTTCCACAGATTGCAGGTGCACTAAAAACTTCACAACTGTAAAACTTCTTATGCCCTTTATCCGGAATTAAATAAAAACTACAAGCAATGCTGTTTGTGCAAGGCCCCGAGTTTAGCATGTAGCATCTTTAGCAGCTAAACTTTAAACTAAGAACGTCAAAAAGAAATAAAATAACACGCAAAATTTAAATAATAAATACAAAATTGACTACGTATACAACATGGTTTGCATCAGTCACACCAGTCTTCCACTGACACAAACTGAGTGACCGTCATCTTAACATTTAGCGTTAGCTTCCACTAAATTTTTATTTGTTTAGCGTTAGCGGAGCTAAGATTCTTGTTTAGTGTGTTTGTGGTTTGTGACCACATTGCACCATGACACTTTCTTTAAAGCTTCAAATTAAACATTTAAAAAATTAATATTTGAGCATACAGCAGCAATGAAAGAACTGCCAGTCTACACAAACTAACACATGAAAAACATTTATATTTTTATCTTTTAGTTTTTTAGTTTTAGTTTAGTTTATTTCAAATATGTATACAAAAACAAAAAATGATAAAAAGTAATAACAAAATTAACATATTTGAAAGGAAAATTTGAAAGGAAAATCTCTCCTATTCGTTCACATAAAGGGGCGGGGCTTAAGCTGTACAGATGCTCGTCTATCGTAACTTCAACTTCAAATTTCTGCTCCTGTGTCTATTCTAAACATAACGTCATGGTGCCGCCTCTGAATAATGCTAACCTCAAACTTAACAAATACAAAAATGAGCACTAAACTGCAAAATCTGTCGATCTAATCAAGTCTAACAATCTTATATTCAACCAAAAGGTAGTTTTGATCTTGTTTTGAGACTAATAAGAGCAGAATGTCTTAGGTTATTCATCTGCACTGACAGATTATTCAGACTATAATCTAATATTTTGTAACTTTATTTAGTTGATTATGTTTTTGATCAAATGGCATCTTTGTTTAAAACTCTGGCATGCAAGGTAGCAGATGATATATGATCTAGTTGTAGATTTTCGGTGTTTTTAAATCAATATATAATGGTTGTGGTGGTCTGGTTTCATGTATTTTTCCCTCCACTAACATGTTGACGTAACCGTATGAGAGTGGGGGGTCTGACTCACCCTCAGTCAGTAACCTGACACTGGGGGGATGTAGAGGAGCGAGGGTCCACGAGGGATTTTTTTATGCTATTACACGTCTACGTGAGACAGCAGCTCCTAAACGCTAACAGAAGGGCGAGGCAGATGTTGTTTGGGAGGTAATACAGGAAATGACTCCCCCCGCCCCTCTTCAGTACCCCATAACCACTGGGGTAATAACTTCTGAGAGGAACAACATGGGAAGTGAGGGTCACCGTGGTCAAACGGGCCACTTAGCTAAAACACACTCGGGCCGTTCCGGCTGCGATGTCAGTGTGGCGTTTCTGAAACGGGACGGTGCCGGTCGGTGACCTCGACCAGGGTGGGCCGGAGAAGTTTCAAAACATCCAACCTTAGCTGTGCTTTGAAGACGTTTCAAAAACAACCAGCAGAAAAAAATAGATTAAACTCGTTAAATTAAGCTGTGTATTTGACACAATCCCACCCGAATGACTGGAACACAGAGAAAATGTGCAGCACCTGTGAACCGGAGACATGAGGTGGTCTAAAGGTCGTGAAAACTGTGTTAACCAGGTGAACGTGACTCAAACCACCGAGGCCCACAAGATGCCACAGATCATCAACACGCTGCAGACCGGAGACTACTTTGGAGAGAAAGCACTCATAAGGTAAAAACAACACAAGCTGCCAGTAAAGACGCCATAGAGGGGAAACTTTTTGTTTTTCATGTTTAAAAATACTGAAAATATTTCAAATTTAGGTTAGAAGTCTTTTATTGTTGCTGAAAATAACTCTACCTCGATATTCATGAGGGAGTCTCCAGAACGTCTTGCAATGTTCGGGATAATTTCTAATTTCTTTGCATGAGTCATAAAACTGCTCAGTCCTGTCCCTTCAGTTGTTCCAATAATCTGCAGATGTTGAGCTGATACTTCCTGTGAGCTCTCCTCTGACAGGACATGTCTTAACTGTTCACAGTTCTGCCCTGAAGACTAAATCTTAAACATGGAGGCAGCTACGGGCGCCAAGTTTGAAAGAAAAAAAAAGTCACTAACATATTTTCATTATTTATCTCACTTTTAGAGTGTAAAATCCTAGTTAAAACATTTCCACTAACATTTTATTTAGCTCACAGTTCTTACATTTTACTAGTTTTTACTCAAATCTAAATGTAAAAGTTAAATGTTTTAAGTAGTTTGGAATGGAACACAGCCTTTACCATTGGTGTGCGGCTTTTGTTGTGATGTGATCTTCCTAACGCTGCTAATGCTGCTAACTCTGCTGGTACTGCTAACGCTGCTAATGCTGCTAACTCTGCTGGTACTGCTAACGCTGATAATGCTGCTAACTCTGGTAATGTTGCTAATGTTGCTAACTCTGGTAATGTTGTTAATGCTGCTAACTCTGGTAATGTTGCTAACTCTGGTAACGCTGCTGAAGATGGTTTTTAAAACCTAAATATAAAATTTGTTCATTGAAAACAATATAGATGGTTCCTGTGGTTCAGTAGTTCAAAGTGCAGCTCAGACACCGACCAAAACTGCAAGGTTGATGTCTTTTAGGGCAGATGAGTTAGCAGAGTTAGCAGAGTTAGTAGAGTTAGCAGAGTTAGTAGAGTTAGCAGAGTTAGTAGAGTTAGCAGAGTTAGTAGAGTTAGCAGAGTTAGTAGAGTTAGCAGTGTTAGTAGAGTTAGCAGTGTTAGCAGTGTTAGTAGAGTTAGCAGAGTTAGTAGAGTTAGCAGAGTTAGCAGTGTTAGTAGAGTTAGCAGTGTTAGGCTGTGTCCAAAACGACAGGCCGGGTCCTCCGGAGGACCCAGACTCCCCGGTCGCGGCGGAGGAGTCTTCGGTTTTGGACGTCCTTCGTCGCGGGGCTGTGACGTATGCGGCCGACAAATTCGGCCTTCGGAGGACCTGGCCTGCCATTTTGGACACAGCCTTAGTAGAGTTAGCAGAGTTAGCAGTGTTAGCAGAGTTAGCAGAGTTAGCAGTGTTAGCAGAGTTAGCAGTGTTAGCAGAGTTAGCAGAGTTAGCAGTGTTAGCAGAGTTAGCAGTGTTAGCAGAGTTAGCAGTGTTAGTAGAGTTAGCAGTGTTAGCAGTGTTAGTAGAGTTAGCAGAGTTAGAGTTAGCAACATTAGCAGTTAGCAGTTGCTTTTGTCTCAGGATGACACAACAAAAGTCACACACCACTGGTAATGACTGTGTTCCTTTCTGAAATACTTTATTGTAAACTTCAACATTTAGTCACAACATTTAAGTTTTACCTTTTTAATATTTAGATTTACACTTTTAGATTTGAGTAAAAAATGTTAAAATGTAAAAACAATGAGCTAAATAACAATAAAATGTTAGTGGACGTTTTTAGCTAGGATTTTACACTCAGAAAGTGACCAAATAATGAAAGTGTGTTGGTGACATTTTTTAACATTTTACACCTGGCGCCCTGTAGGCAGTTGAAAACAGAGGTACATGAACCGAGGTGGGCAACTGAATAAATTTCAGAAACTGGAACGCAGCCACACTGTGTGCTGGTTGGTTCAAAATTCAGTCAAAGAAATTATTATTTTTTATTTTATTTATTTTTTAAATAATTTCCCCCTAAGTTTGATCAATAAAACATCTGATTCGTTTGGAAGTTTCAGTCTTTTTGTACGTTTTTGTTTTGTTTCAGTGATGATGTGAGGTCAGCCAATATCATCGCTGATGACAACGGTGTGGAGTGTCTGGTCATCGACAGGGAGTGAGTCGTTCTCTGAAAGAAGAATAAATACCACCTGACAGCGCCGGTCAGACATCTTCATGGTGTTTGTTTGTTGTAGGACGTTTGATCAGACGGTGGGCAACTTCAATGAGCTGCAGACACACCTGCAGGGCTACGTGGCCACGCTCGACCGCGACGACAAGAAGAGACACACAAAGTGAGTCCAGAACCGCCACGCTCAGAACCATGAGCTCGTTTTAAAGGGCCTGTGACACGCAAATCCATGAAATACAACAAGTCAAAGAAAATATGTTAGTATTTAAGAAACTTGGTGTAATACACATGATTTTACCCATTATTTCACATAATTGGCATGTTTCTTTTGAATTTGGCTCAACTTAAGTGAAACAGGAAGTGACATCAAAGGGGAACTCTTTGAGAAAGAAAACTCCCTGTTTTTTGTTTATTTAAACAATATTATATGAACTCTGACCTTTTCTCATCTCTCTGATAGTGATTAAAGTAATCTAAAGAAACATCAGATTCTTCTCTACAGTTTGTGTTGTTAGCCATTTTAGCAACACTGTTTACATGCAGACGAATGTCTGACATCACTTCCTGTTACTTTACATGCAAATATCTCAACAGCTGTTTATCTCAGCGACGTGAAATCTTTTTTACAATATGTTATCTATGTTATCTTTCAAAAGATACATTCATATTTATTACAAAAATTTGATGTCATAGGCCCTTTAAGTGAGAGTTTGTGTTAAAGCATGAACAGGAAGGATAAAACAGCCTCTCTTCATGCAGGAAGTCCATCTCACGGCACCAGAGCCAGCCTCTGTCTCCTGGTTTCATCCAGCTGAAGGACATGGTGTCGGGTTTTTCTCCATCCAGACCCTTCGATCACCTCGACGTCGTGGCTACACTCGGTGTTGGAGGGTTTGGACGAGTTGAACTGGTACCTGATGATGAAACAGATTAAATAATTAATGCTTTCAGTTCTCTGGACGCAGGTTTTCTCTGCAGGTGATGATGATAATGTTTGTGAATTTTCCATGTGTGCAGGTGAAGGTGAAAGGTGAAGACGTCACCTTTGCTCTGAAGATCATCAAGAAGAAGCACGTTGTGGAGAACAGGCAGGAGGAGCACATCCACTCTGAGAGGAGGATCCTGGCCGAGGCTCGCTCTCCATTTATTGTCAAGTCAGTCTTTAATGTCCTGCAGCTGTTCTGGTTTGATCCTGTTAGATTTCATTGATCTGAGAAAACAGAACTTATTCATGACTGACCAGGAGCAGATCCTGTTTTTGTCTTGGAACAGAAAATATTTATAATAAGTTTTACAACAGGAGCTTTTCTTAATAATGTGAATTATTACTCAACAGGATCCAGTTTTCTTCTTTACGTTTTTTGAATCGTAACCAGTTTCACTATTTTTGTGCTTTTTCACTGTTTTATATATGAAAACATTCATCTCCTTCAGAACATTCTGGTTATTACTTTTACTATTTCAGCAAGGTTTACTTTTACTTAGTTTTTTTGGCCACTTTTTTTCTCATTAAAAATGAACGGAGCTGTTTTCAACATCCTTAAAACCTTTTAAAATATTTATAAATCTTTACACTTTTTACTCTGCTCCTGTTTGTGCTGATTTCTTAGGCCTCCTTTATTAAATATAATTTTAGCTTTATTCTGCTGTCTTTTTTCAATTCAATTCAAATTCAAAAATACTTTATTGATCCCAGAGGGAAATGTGGTAAATTTTTGCTCCTTTCTGCTTTTTTTTTTTGTTGTTGCAAATTTAAACTTTCTCTGCTTATTTCTGCTTTTTAAACCTTTTTCTGCCTTTTAAGCTACATTTTTAGCTGATTTAAGCTATATTTTAACTGTTTTTACTAATGTCACCTTTTGGCTAAATTCAACAAACTCTTTCTGCTTCTTTGTACTAATTTCAGCTTTCTTTGGCTACTTTAAAAAATTTGTACTTTTTTCTGCTATTTCAGAATATTTTTCTGCTAATTTCAACATTTCTATGCTAGTTTAAACCTTTTTATGCCTTTTAAGCTACATTTGTAGCTGATAGCTAATTTTTACTGACGTCTCCTTTTGGCTTAATTCAGCAAACGTACGCTCTTTCTGCTTCTTTGTACTAATTTCAGATTTTTTAGCTATTTTATCACAAATTGCAACTTTTTTGTTGTTTTCTTGTTTTTCTGCTAATATGAGCTTTCCCCTGTTCTTTTACCCTCTGTCTGCTAATCCACATTGTTCCTGTGGTTTTTAGCTACATTTCTGCTCCGTTCTGACCTCAGCTTTGTTTCTGCTCAGGTTGTATCGCACCTTCAAGGATAATAAATACGTGTACATGCTGCTGGAGGTGTGTCTGGGAGGAGAGATCTGGAGTCTGCTCAGAGACCGGTGAGAGAGGCCGAGAAAATCAAAACATCTTGTTCCATCGTTCCTGTTGGGCTGCCTCCTGAAACTCAAACTAACTGTTCAGGGGAAGCTTCGACGAGCCCACCGCTAAGTTCTGCGTGGGCTGTGTGACCGAAGCCTTCGAGTATCTCCACCGGAAAGGTGTCCTCTACAGAGACCTGAAGCCGGAGAACCTGATGCTGGACTCTGACGGCTACATCAAACTGGTAAATATAAGATCATTAAACGGATTTAAACCTGCAGCAGGTTCTGCAGCAGGTTCTGCAGCAGGTTCTGCTCACTGCAAATAAAAACAAATGTTTTAGGTTTGTTATAATCAGTTAAACTCCCTCCACTTTATCAAAACAACAAAGCCGGGGGGGGGG